CGGTTATATATTATTAACCAAAAGAATACAACAGAATCCACACATAATATATATAATTAGTGGTTAATTGCAATAAAAAAAAACTTTAAAATGTCAAAATTACCTACTGTTTGTTTGGTGTTACACAGTGAATTGTAATATATTACCAGGTAAGTGCTAATGTAAAGACATTCAGACAAGTCAAAATGAATTCTTAGATTTTATTCAATTATTACCATGCAGTTAAGGTTTGTGAATTAACCAGAGGGTTAAGATAAACCAGTTGTTTTATTTTAAAGCTAAATCACACAGTCCTAAAATTTAGGAAAGATGGTAAAAATAAGGGTTAAAACTATTCAAACAGTTACATATTTTCAGAGGGGAGGGATGCAACCAAATCAAAATGTGTGCTTTTGGAAAGTAACTTGTGTATTTCTTCCCCTCAGATGTGAAGTTAAAACTGTTCCAAGAGTCRGACTTTGACAGTTTGAGCTCTCTGATGGTCAGAGACGACATCGGTCAGCTCGTACTCGGAGCCAGAGGGAAAGTTATCACGCTCAGTTTGGATGACATCACCGACAAGACGAGTCAGGTGAGATCTGGTTCTTATGTAAACACACAGTCTCTGGCACGTCAGCAAACATTTCGCACAGCTACACAAACTGTTTGTGAGTCCTCGTCATTTATTCCGTCTGCTAGGAGTCGTGGACGGTCAGCTCTGAAGAAAAGACTCTCTGTCAGATGAAAGGAAGGAGCAGTGAAGTAATGTGCACCAACAGCCAGAGACGGTTTTACATTTCACGTGGCTTCAGCTTGTTTTTATTGAGTTTTTGTTCTTTAACAGGAGTGTGAAAACTTCATCAGGGTTCTGCACACAACAGAGGATGGCAGCATGCTGGTGTGTGGGACCAACGCTTTCAGCCCCGCCTGCACCTACATGGTAAGTTTTCCACAGCAATGCAGATGCTTTTATATTTCAATACCATTATTCGTAGTACCTTTATAGAAATGTCCAATTTAAGCAAATAATAATAAAACTAAAGAACCTACATGGTCAATAAATATTATTTGCTAAAATGTTTAATTTCTTTCAACAGACTTTTATGGATGGAAAACTCACTATGGAAAACACAACACATGATGGCAAAGGAAAAGTTCCCTTTGAACCCTACCAAGAATTTGCCTCCATTATGGTTGGTGGGTAACAATATTTAATAATTTGTCATTTCTACACATTTACATGACTCAGCATTTTAATCATTGTAATTTAAGTGCTTAGTTGTTTTGTTGGAATAAAAACTGTTTTGGTTTGTATTTTTAAAAACCTTTCATATGGCTCATTTCTCAACAAACTTATGTTTTCTGAAACTTTTCTCTGAAATAAATCTTAATTTTACAGATAAGTTGCAGAAAATAAAGCGTGTTTCCTTTGAACCCAACAGGAAACACATTATTCTCTGCCACCTCTTCGAACTTCTTGGGAACAGAAATGGTGTTCCAGAGACACGGGCTGAACCCCATCAAGACTGAAACCAAACTTTCATGGCTCAAAGGTATAACGACAAAATGATCCAACAACAAAAACGAGCCAATACTCTGAAAATATTGTGTTACCCTTACCCAACATTTTCATTGTTTTGGTCTCAGAACCCACCATGATTTCCATCATCATTGCTGAAGTGAGTAAATACTCACTGGACAACGAGGACGACCACGTGTTCCTGTTCTTCACCGAGAACGCTGTCGAAGAATTTCGAAGCAATGTCCGCGTTTCGAGAATTGCACGCGTGTGCAAGGTTTGTGCTTTAAAAAACATGTTACTTTTGTTTTCATATTAGTAAACGTGTGTGCTGTCTTAGAGCGATTTGGGAGGAGAGAGAATTTTGCAGAAGAAGTGGACGTCTTTTTTGAAAGCCCGGCTGGAATGTCCATTTGGAGATGCTGGTTCCCCAGCTCTGGTCCAGGATGTTTTTTTTCTCCAAGATAAAACCAACTGGACCAACAGCATCTTCTACGCCACGTTCACCTCCAACCCGTAAGTTTCATGTGTTCACTTGTTCAGACCTGCCAATAACAACAATTCTTAAGCTAATTTGTGACCTGATAGAGCTTACATGTGGACAAGTCTTTCCTTGTGGACATCTTTTAATTTGTTTATAAATAAAAAGTTTCTGTGCAGTTATATAGCCATAAACCCCTCTATCAAACTAGAATGAACCGCTCTGGAAGCTGGAGGGGGGCGGAGTGTGAAACGCCTCATTTGAATTTAAAGAGACAGCCTCAAAATGAGCTGATCTGAGACACACCCCAGAAAAGGGGCGGGGCTTGTCAAGATAAATTAAGGAGGAATTCAGACCAAAGCATTGCAGTTCCACTTTTTATACACCCCAACTGAAGGATTTAAATGCAAAAAAGGATTTGAATGTATGAAATGTCTCATTTTAAAAGGTAACAGCTTGTGTTTACCTGCAAAAGTTAACAAATGACTTCAAAATGTTTTCTGACGTTTTTGACCTGGACACACTATAATAGAGACACCCTGTCATACAGTGAATTATTATTCAGAGCTTTGTCCTCATCTGGCTTTTTAAATAATTATTCCCACTCCTTTTCCCTTCTGAAAATGCAGTGTTTTATAAAGGACTGGCTGACAACAAAGGGTTGCAGTTCTGCTTTAGTTTCCACTGAAATGTTTAAATATGAAAAAGAAGGATTTAAAAGCATCATGTCTCCTTTAAGATTCTGTTCCTTTGTTTGTTTGTTTTTTTTTTTTGTGTGTGTGTGTGCAAAATGTTATGTTACAATGGAGGAATTAACCCAAATTCAGGCAGAGGTAAGAGTTTTAAGAAAAAAAAACAACATTTATTTTAGCAAAAATAAAACAAAAAGGCTGACGAGGCTGCAACTGACAAAAACTCTGAAGACACAGGGAGACAAGAGAAAACCAAAACAGTTGAGCATGTCAATGACCAGTATATATACAAACAGAGGAAATGAGAAGATGAACTACAGCTGATGAAAAACACTAATTGGGAACTGCTGACAGGTGTGAGTGATAGACTGAGGAGGGAAGTGACAGGTAAACTGAGGAGTAATAATAATAAGGAAACACCAGAGGGAGGTAGACACAAGACAACAGAAAACACAAATCCTCACACAAAATATTTTAAGTTTGAACGTGTAAATATAATTCACTATTGTTATTCTTGTTTTTTGTTTGCTTTTTGTTTTAAATGAAATTTTCTTTTGTATTTAACTTTGTATATTCTTTTAAATTCATTACGTTCAATGAAAAGTCTGAACTAAACTAAATTAAACTAAAACTAAACTAAGGTTTGGACACTTTCAGCAAAGACATGTAGCTTTTTGAGCTGTAGTTTTTTTATTTTAACAGTTCTTGGTGAAAATTGGAAAAATGTGATTTTTTTTCATTCATTTATTTATTTTTAATTGGTTGCATTTTTGAAATATTACATTTTAAAACGTTTCAAAGGTGTTCCAACATTAACAGGTTTTGAATTAGAAAAAATGACAGAACATATTTTACAGGGAGCCCTACAGCGTTTCCATCCAGTCTGCTGTCTGTGCATACAGACTGTCAGACATCAGCCGAGTGTTCAGGGGCGAATTTCTGACCGAGAGCGACACCGGCGGGTGGTACACATACACAGGAGAGCAGCCTTATCCTTACCCTGGTTCAGTAAGCATCGAGCCAAAGAGAATGAACTTGATTATATAAAACTGAAGACACTAATGTAATCTGGTTTTGATTGTAATCTCAGTGCATTGATGATGAAATGCGAGCCAGCGGTGTGACGACATCCCTGAACCTCTCAGATGCAACCTTGCTGTTCGTRAAGAACCATCCTCTGATGGAGGGGCTCATCACACCCATGAGTGGCAAACCCCTGCTGGTCCAGGCTGCAACACAATTCACCAGAGTTGTTGTGGATCAAGTAACATCACCAGATGGACGACAACACCATGTCATCTTTATTGGCACAAGTGTGTAACTAAAGACGCTTCTATCTGAACAAGACAAACTAAAAACATAGATATCTCCTCCTTAGACTCTGGTTGGCTGCAGAAGGTGGTGAGGTTTGGTGGTGAAGAAGGACGCATCGTGGAGGAGTTCCAGCTGTTTCAGGAGACTCAGTTTATTGACTTTCTTCAGCTCTCCTCCAAAACTGTAAAAAGACATTTACATTTTGCTCAAATATTTAAACAATCATGCCTATTTTAAAATGTATTAACCATTTAGGGACAGCTGTACAGCGGCGGCAGAAACACTGTTGTTCAAATAGATGTGAGCGATTGTAGCCACTACTCATCGTGTGACGACTGCCTTCTCGTCAGAGACCCATACTGTGGCTGGGACTATAGCAGAAACCACTGTGATACTGTTGTTGGAGCATCAAATGTTCCCATGTAAGAACAAATTAAAACAATGTTTGAGATGTGCAATGCTTCAGAACCAACACTGTACTGATTTTTTTTTACAGGATTCAGGACCTCATAGAGGGCAACACCAGCCTGTGTCCAAGCTCTGATTGTGAGTAGGGTGGATGTTTTTGTTTTTATTTATGTAAATAAAGTTAAATAATTCAAAAGGTGAAAAAGTTATGAATACTAAAAGTCATCTATTGCCRGTTATGTTGGATATTGTAATCATTAAAATAACAGAAAGTATACAAAAAAGTTTGATTGAAAAAAAGGAGGGAAGAAACTAAAAGGAAAACAACAGAGTGAAAGCTGGATCAGCAGAAAAAGAACTGGTCTCAGTAAAGAGCTCTGAGGAACTCCATAGCTAACTAACTTTAGCTGCATGAGGAAGATTCCTTTTTTGTTTTACAAAAACAATTCAATTCAATACAAAATTTTATTCATTTCATTAAAAATAACTATATACAACAGAAAAAAAGAAAATACACAAATCAAAACTGAAAATAAAAAGAAATTTAGCAGGATAAATCTTATGTCTGCCCCTTTTATCCCCAGAATATATTCATAATTTACAAAACAATACTAAACAAAAATAAAAACATAAACTCAAACAACTATTCATATAGCTTCACATTTTAATTTTCCATATCAACAAAGTCTTTGTGTTTAAATACTGTACATTTGTTGGSTAAAAATGTGTAGCATTAGTAAGAGCTTTTTGTGTTTCGTTTGTTTCCTGCAGTGAAAAATCCTTTCATCACTCTTCACCTCGTTCCTGGCATCGCACAGTTCCTCGCGTGCWCGCCCGACACAAATCTTCCAGTCAGCTGGCGCCTCTCCGGTGCCATCCTCCATCTTGGTCCCCGACACCATCTGCTCAGCCAGGGTCTCGTCATCTGGCCCTCTTCTTCCGACGCTGGCCTCTACACCTGCGAGACGGTAGAAACCGTGAAAGGCAGAGAGCACAGGAAGGCTGTGGTCCAGTATCTCGTCACCGTTTCCTCCGCCGGCGTCATCGACTTGCAAACAGCTGTCATCATCCTGACGTGTTTCGTTGCTTTCCTCGTTTGCCTCACGGGCGTAGCATGCCTCAGGGCAACAAAACTAAAGCGCGTTGGAAACCAAATCCGCAGCAGCTGTCAGGAGAGCGCTTTTCATCAATGTGATCAGGTAAATCAGAGACACGAGGACCAGGGTCTGCATCAGCRTGTGAGGGATGCTGGTCCTCAGGGAGCTGGAGTCAGAGAAGAGAGTGGGAACCGATAATCACATCAGCCTCACAGATACATGAGCCTGGTTGTCTCCTTGTTTCAGTGCTTTATACAGAACACTTACTCAAACTGCTTGATAAACCTGAATTGTAATAATTGTTAAATATTGCAAATGTTTTGATTCAGCAGTTTTAAATACATTGTTTTTGTATTTCTTTCTCGTTTGATTTCATTTATTGTTGAGTTGAAATTTTCATTTAAACAAACGGTTAAACGTCCCTCTAGTGCAGGGTTATTCAACTAAACTGCTCCGGGGGCCACGGGTAATGCAGGCCAACGGCTGAGGGGCCCAACATCCAGCAATTAAAGTTATTGTGTAAATAAACCAAAGATCTGTTACCTTTGAAATAATTTATTTTGCTGCATTCAATCATGGATATAACATACAGAACCCTATGTGATAAATTTAGTGATGATAAAACAACACCAAAAACAAAAATAACACATCATACCTCCTATTTAACACAAATAATATTTTGACATCTCTGACTTGCCAACTTTTTAAACCAATTTTATTTTTACTTTCATAGTTTTCTCTTTAACTGCTTATAGTTTTAACTGTCTTGAGTGTGCTTAGAAATAGTTTTTACCAGCTTGTAGCCAAGATTCTGACATATTTGTAGATACCAAACATGTCTATGTTTAACTAAAGTAATTCATAATAATTACAGTAGAAAACTGGTGGTCTGAGCTTAAGAGATGAATGAACCGATTGGCGAGCCGCATTTTGGTTACTCGCGGGCCGGATGTGGCCCGCGGGCCGCCAGTTGAATAGCCCTGTTCTAGGGTATTGTGAATTAGCTATGGCTTTAGACTCTGTGATGAATACAATAGCTTGTTTTCATTTTAAAAAATATGTAGTGAAAAATAGAAACTCAGGAGTGGTTACCTAAACTGTGGACAGTGTTGTGTGCACTAAAGAAGGAAGAGTCATTGCTTTTTTATTTTTCTTTTATTTTTTTCTTGCAGATTTTTCAGTTTTTGTCCGGTATAAAACATTCAAATCGATTTAAATTCCTCCACACAAAGACAGAGAGGTGACAGAGCTGACTCCAGCACAGAACCACCCAGCCGTCATGTTCAAATGGGGGTGAGCATGCAGGCGCCGAGGCAAATCAATGGCAGCATCATTTGTTTAATTGATTGCACCTGTGTTTCAGCAGCTGCAACATCGCCTCATCAATCAGGAGCCCCTCTCACAATGGATGGGTGGCTTTTTTTATTTCAGCAATCATAATTAGTCATTAGGTGCATTTACAGCTAAAAAGTTTACAAGGCATAAAAAGTGGAGTAATTAATTATCAGCCATCACTGAAGGTGAAGCGCTGGTTTTGTTTTTGTCTCTTTATGTCTACAGCAGAGGGGTCAAACAGTTTCATAAGGGGGCCAAGCTTTCAAAATTTGGTCAAAGCCAAGGGTCAATTAAAAAAAATGTCATGTGGCAAATTATTCTTATACAAATTATGTTTTATGTAACATTTAGATTATTAATGACCTATTAGATAAATAAATGACACATTTACACATTAAAATTTGCATTGTTAAAACACTTAAAGAGTTAAATTTAACACTGTTTGAGTTTATTTGACCGTGCAATTAGTGTCAAAATAAAAGTTAACACTACAAGTCAAATATATAATAATATAATTCTAAGCAGAGTTAATGAGTTACTCCCCTGTGGTGACAAATCGACTCTGATTCTCACGCTTTTTTAACACTGCGTTGAGTTATTGAGTGTTAATTTGATACATGATTGTGTTGATTATTTACTGTTTTGCTGTGTAGAAAGGTGAACACGACTAATACACAGCACATTTGAAAGTGTAAGTTTAATATTTTTTAGTCAAAATAAACACTCTTTAGTGTTGCAACATTATGAAAATTTTAAGACCAGTCAAAAAAGTGCAAGAATTTGCATTTTGCACTATTGGATCTTAAGAAGGTTCTAAGTAGAGCTTCACAATGTTAAAAGAAGAAATCAGTGCAAGAAACAAGAACTTTTGAGCAGGGAATTTTCTGAAAACTACATTTACACCCAAACATGATTTTTCAGCTGATCAAAAGTTTAAGACCATAGTTTACCTGTTTGGTCTCTTACAACAAATGAAATCTTAGAACCCATAGTTAGGC